CCCTGTGTATTGTTGCGCACATAAAAAAAATGCCTCGGCATTTGGAAATTGAAAAAAGAGTAGCCTAATGGACCTGCCGAAGCAAAATTTAGAGTTTAGAATCTAGCCAAAGTTTTTCAGGATACTCGCCAGTGCAACGGAGTTTAGACTCAGGCTTGAGTTAGAAGTAGAACAGAGCACTAATGGGTTACATCTGTGTGCCATGATGTTCATCTACTGAAAAAAATATAAATATAAACAAGAATCATAGATGAAGTCAGAGCTCTTGCCCTCTCTTCATCCATATGGCCAAGTACTTCAGGTTTTTATCTCCGTGCCTTCTCCTTGTTCTTTTTTCCATCAACCTCGTCAGTCACACACACACACATAAACACAGCACAAAATATCATCAACAAATAAAAACAGCACCAATTATCTTCAATAAATAAAAGCAGCAGAAAATATCAACAACAACAAAAAACAAAAAGCACTAAACATCAACCACAAATTCAAATCAGCAGAAAGTATTATCAGCAAAAAAGAAAACAGCACCAAATATCATCATTCAGCTTCGATCACTTACTTTTAACACTGGGCTTTAGAGCTTTCACAGCCACAGCGATGCCAGAAGACAAGCCACCCCCGCTGACCCCCACTAGAATGGCATCTATGTCTGGCACCTGCTCCAACAGCTCCAAACCTAGTGTGCCCTTTAACATTACAATTAAAATACAGTGAGAAGCAGACTTGGTAATTAATGTAATAGGTAAAGTGATTAAAAAGAACTGTAAATAATGTAATAAGTGAAGTAATAAGTAAGTATACCAACATCGCCAAAGTCAGGTTAAAACGTGGTACAAGTGGAACAACTTAGATCAAGCGTCACAAATTGATTTTATACTAGTCAGACAACGGCAGAAGAGGAAGGTAAGAGACTCAAAAGCTGTCCCAAATGCGGGACTGGATTCAGACCATCGCCCAGTAGTTATGAACATATGCAACTCAAGTAGAAACAGTCTACATAAACAGAAACGTGAAGAAATCATCAACACTAAGAAATTAGAGGAAGAGAATATCAAACATGAATTTGAACTGGAAAATAACAAAGGCTTTTGCAGATATTGCCAAGGAACCAGTAAGAATTGAAGAAGAATGGATTATTATAAATCAACCATCACGAAGATATTAAAAGACAAGTGTGGTACCAGAAAGACGGGCAAAGGCAAGAAAAAGGGTACCGCTTGGTGGAATGAAGAAGTCAAAGAAGCAGTGTCAAATAAAAAGAAGATGTTTCAAATATGGTTAAAAACAAAAGACGAAAAGGATTACATTAGGTACAGACTAACTCGAAGAGACACACCAAGAGAACAATAAAGAAATCCAAAGAGGAATCATGGAAAAAGTATGGTGAACACCTAACACAGCTATGTACAGAATCATCAAGAGACTTCTATAAGAGTGTGAAAGCGATGCGATTAAGAGAAGAAAGCTTCAATCCAACATCAGTCATAAACGATAAAAATGGAAAACCATTATTCAGCCAAAAAGAAATTTAAAAAAAGATGGAGGAATATTTTAAAGAACTTTTGAACCCGTCGGGAGTACATGAAACAGCAGAATTCCATTCAAGGGCTCCAGATCATCTAGAACCACATATCCTGCGGGATGAAGTAGAGAAAGTTATCAAAACAAGTAAAAGACACAAAGGCAGCTGGTATCGACGGAATAACAACAGAAGTCATCCAGGCTGGAGGGGACACTATGATCACCTGGCTGGAGAGAATTTTCAATAGAGCATGGGCAGAGAGAAAGGTACCAGTGGATTGGCAAAGATCAGTTGTAGTACCTATCTGGAAGAAAAAAAGGAAACAAGAGAGAATGTGGAACTTATAGAGGAATATCTTTACTAAGTCATGTGGGGAAAATGTATGCAAAGATCTTAGAAGGTAGGACAAGAGCAAAAGGTTGAACCTCTACTGAGTAAAGCACAATTCGGTTTCAGGAAAGGGCGAGGTTTGCACTGATGCCATATTTGCACTAAGACAAAGTCTGTGAAAAGACACTCGAATACGATAAAGAGCTGAACGTGGTCTTTGTAGATCAAGAGAAGGCATTCGACCGTGTAGACAGAGATGTGCTGTGGAGAATTCTTTGACGATTACGGAGTGCAGGGTCAATTATTAGACAACATCAGAGCCCTCTATGAAAAAAGTGAAAGTGCAGTAAGAACATCTAGTGGTCTTTCTGAATGGTTCAAAGTCACAACTGGTGTCAGACAAGGATGTGTACTGTCACCATTACTTTTCATAACATACATGGATACGATCACTGTAGAAGCAAACCCAGACGTGTATGCTATAAACGAATTACTTTTTGCTGATGATCAAAGCATACTGTATCAAAATGAATATGATCTACAGGAACATCTGACTACTCTCAACAACAGCTGTTTACAACATAATATGAGAATCAGTACAGAAAAAACAGAAGTTATGAAGATCAGCAGAACACACAGGCCACTGAATATAAATGTTGGAAGTGCCAAAATCAAGCAAACCAAAGAGTTCAAATACTTGGGCAGTATATTTACAGAGGATGGAAGAATGGACAGAGAGATAGAAACAAGAATACAGAAAGCAAATGCTGTCACATACCAACTATCACCTCTGCTTAAACATCCAGATATAACCATGAAGACCAAAAGACAATTGATAAACACCATCTTCATTCCAACACTCTGCTACCAGTGCCAGACATGGACAATCAACAAGACCCATGAAAGAAAAATAGAAGCCTGTGAAATGAAATGTCTAAGAAAAAGCAGCGAATAAGACAAGACTAGACAGGATAAAGAATATAGACATTTAGAAACACTGTCAAAACTACACCATGTTTAGACTACATAGAACATCAAAGAATGAAATGGTTTGGACATCTAACCAGGATGAAAAATGATCAAATAACATCACAAATTTTCAATCAAAGAAGCTCAGGATATAAGGCAAGAGGAAGACCAAGGAAACGGTGGATTGACGGGGTCTCCGAAACCTGCCAAAAGCATGGCCTCAGAACATCAGATGCTGCCCGCCTTGCTTATGACAGGAACTTGCATCTCCCCACAACGCTTAGCGGCATACGTGGAAGGAAAAAGTAAAAGTAAGTATAAGTAAGTAATGAGAAAACTCAGTAAATTGGGTAATAAGTCAAGTAGAGTAATAAGGAAAGTTAGTTTGAAAAAAAAGGTAATAAATAAAATAGTTTTAAAAAACTATTAAGTAGATAATGAGGTTTAAACAACAGATCAACATCATGGCACACGGGTATAGTAACCCATAAAAGCTCCATTCTTCTTCTAACTCAAGTTCGAGTCCGGAAAAGCTCAGCACAGTGCACAGGTTCTGTAGCACTGGCGAGGATCCAGAAATACTGTGGGTAGATTTTTAACTTCAAATTTTTGTCCTGGCAGTGCCGTTAGGCTACTCTTTTCGATTTCCAACTGCCAAGGGATTTTTTTATGTGCGCAACAATACACACAGGCGTCCGATCTCACTACCCAGAGGCCAGGGGGAATTACTCGAATTCCAAGTCCACGTGAAAAAACCCAGCCCTTGCCGGGGATTGAATTCGGAACCTCTAGCACTTGAGGCAGACACCATGCATTGAGACTATGGAGCCCCCCTAGTTAATAATAAGTAAAGTAATAAGGGAACTTGGTAAATAAAGTAGTAAGTAAAAACACATAAAGTGGCTTAATTCACTTGATAACAGAATGTCACGGATTTTATGTCTTGAATATTCAGCTGTGCAGGGTAATGATCCAGCTGCAAGATTAGCTGCTACCACTTCTCTGGGTGCTGAGCTACATTATGATAAAGCGGATATGGGGAAGGCTCTCTGGGATCAAATTGACACTGCAACAGGAGGGAATCCAAACATTGAAAGATTAATTTTAACGGGGGTAAATAGAGGTTCTGGAAGATATTCAACACTGAGGGAGAAATGTTGGAGGGCTTTTGTTTAGCTTGCAACTGGAATGTCAACTCTTTGTTGGCCACAGGGGAGGAAGACGGAGCACGTGTGGGAATGTCCTGAGTGCAGTGATGTCAATGCATTGATTCATTAATTAATTCATTTATTCAATCATTCATTCATTCATTCTGTCTCAACAAGAGAAAACTGACTCTTTACTTGACTAAACTTACCTGGCCGGCAATCACGTCTGGATGATCAAAAGGAGGAATAACTTCCAGATTCTTCTCTTTTCGCACTTGTTCGCAGGTTTCATTTCTGTGTACAAGGTAAATGGTGAACTGATTATATTTATTTTTAATTCTCTGAGTGCCAAACAGCGCGTAATGTGTGAAACCCTGGATTCCAGGGTCTCATGAGAATAGACCAACTGCCTCCCCCACAAGCATGTCCTAGGAGTTGACTAATTAGGGGTTTCTTTTGAAGTCGGAGTGCATTTGCCCGAGCAGCAAGGAACAACCAACTGCACACCAATAAGCCAGTAAAATGTATACACAAAAGTGAGGTCCTGGCACAAAGCCAAAGTCTAAATGGATGAAAAACCAGGACTTTCTGCCGGAGCTTACAGCCGGGAAACATGAGGAAGAAGAGGAGGAGGTGAAGAAAATAATTGCCTTACGCACCTGTCACTTGGCTTTGGTCCACATTCTACAACCTCAGCTCCATATCCACGGATTGCATTCTTCTTGACTTCAGAAGCCGTTGAAGGCACAACAACATAGCATGGTAATGCAAACAGCTGGCAAGCCCAGGCCATAGCTTGTCCATGGTTCCCGCTGCTGAACGTTGTCTGAAACATCAAGAAAGAGCACACTCACCAAAGTAATTTTTTAAAGGTTGTCTGAAACATCAAGAAAGACCAAACTGACCAATGTAATTTTTTAAAGGTTGTCTGAAACATCAAAAAGAACACACTGACCAATGTAATTTTTTAAATGGTTGTCTAAAACATCAAGAAAGACCACACTGAACAATGTAATATTTTAAAGGTTGTCTGAAACATCAAGAAAGTGCACACTGACCAATGTAATTTTTTTTAAAGGTTGTCTGAAACATCAAGAAAGAGCACACAGACCAATACAATTTTTTAAAGGTTGTCTGAAACATCAAGAAAGAGCACACTGACCAATGTAATTTATTTAAAGGTTGTCTGAAACATCAAGAAAGAGCACACTGACCAATGAAATTTTTTAAAGGTTGTCTGAAACATCAAGAAAGAGCACACTGACCAATGTATTTTTTTAAAGGTTGTCTGAAACATCAAAAAAGACCACACTGACCAATGTAATATTTTAAAGGTTGTCTGAAACATCAAGAAAGAGTACACTGACCAATAAAAATTTTTAAAGGTTGTCTGAAACATCAAGAAAGAGCACACTGACCAATGTAATTTTTTTAAAGGTTGTCTGAAACATCAAGAAAGAGCACACTGACCAATAAAAATTTTTAAAGGTTGTCTGAAACATCAAGAAAGAGCACACTGACCAATAAAAAATTTTAAAGGTTGTCTGAAACATCAAGAAAGAGCACACTGACCAATGTAATTTTTTTAAAGGTTGTCTGAAACATCAAGAAAGAGCACACTGACCAATGTAATTTTTTTAAAGGTTGTCTGTAACATCAAGAAAGACCTGAGTGAGCGATGCAATTTTCAAAAAGTTGTCTGACTGAGCGATGCAATTTTCAAAAGGTTCTTTGAAACAGAGAAAGTTACCATATTGCAATTCAGGTCCTGATGCAGCTAGAATTTTTCAGTAATGACCTTGGTTCCCAGGTCAACCCAGTCTTAAATGGGTACCAGGTAAAGTTCTGGGAAGTAAAGGTAGTTAGTGTGATGTCGACCATATCACCCATTGATTGCTGACTGGTCTAAATAATATAGATCTAGCCATTTATGCCCAATATGCCTAAAGGTGTGGCACAGGATACTTTACGTACTTACTTACTGACTGTCTTGTAATTTACTTTTTAAGTAAGGCCAAGTAACAATACAGAGTTGTCTAAAACATAAAGGGATATCCTAATGACAAATGTAATCTTGAATGGTTGTCTAAAACATAAAGGGATATCATAATGACCAATGCAATCTTGAATAGTTGTCTAAAACATAAAGGGATATCATAATGACCAATGCAATCTTCAAATGATTGTTTAAAACACAGAGTGACTACAATGACTAAAGCTGTTTTCTAATGGTTGTCTAAAACACAGAGTGACTACACTGACCAATGCTGTTTTCTAATGGTTGTTTAAAACACAGAGTGACTACACTGACCAATGCTGTTTTCTAATGGTTGTCTAAAACACAGAGTGACTACACTGACTAAAGCTGTTTTCTAATGGTTGTCTTAAACACTGCGTGACTACACTGACCAATGCTGTTTTCTAATGGTTGTCTAAAACACAGAGTGACTACACTGACTGAAGCTGTTTTCTAATGATTGCCTAAAACACAGAGTGACTACACTGACCAAAGCTGTTTTCTAATGATTGTCTAAAACACCCTAAAGCATCCTGTTCTGAAAGCTGAGATATTTTGGCCATTTTAAATGTCATAGTGGCCTGGAGAGAAAGGAGATGGAGGGGACAGTTTCTCGACACACAAGGCAGAGGCAAACCTCCATGAATGTGGATTCAAGAGGCTGAAGATGCCTTGGCTATGAAAGCACATAGGGCTGGAAAAATGGCTAGAGAAAGAGAGACCTTTAGGCTTGCCGTGATGTGAGCAACGTTCTGTAAAGCCCCTGCTGATAGGGGGGATCATTTCTAAATCACGGCTAGCCCACTGACCAAAGAAATCTTCAAAAGGAAGGACTTTTGTTCCAATAAGACTAAAAGGCAGGACAACTGTTTTAGCTTTGGCATGCTATTTGCTCCGGCCTGTCATTAACTGTTGCAACATCTCACGTAAGTGGACTGAAAATTTAAGGTTCTGTCACCCAGCTACTGACTGCATGGTGCAACACTGTGGGCTAAGGATTTTCTTTGGAATGTGTTTCGGCTGTGACCAAGGTGGTTTGTACTGTGAACTGCTGAATAAGAAATTGGTAAGTGGCCTGCTGTCACAGAACTGGTGATGCCTTATGTGATATTGCATGTGCAACTGCTGATTTGTCATAATTGCCGCTTACATCAACAGTAAACTGTAAATTTAGGATAGAGCCACCCACACAACAGGTATTGTTTGGGTTCAAAGAATTGATAAGGAAATTTGATAAATTCAACAACACTTACAAAGCCCTTTATATCTGGTCTTGTTTCTCTAGCCTTTATAATCTGAAACAAACAAAAAAATAACATCCTGTGGTTAGGGGACACAACTGTCAATGATCAATACATCACAGAAGAAAGGCCCAACAAGAAAGTGGGTGGTATGCTCAAAAAACAAAAAGCAACGGGAAAACAAATACATGTGCAATGTCTGTGATGTGGCTCTGTGTGTTATACCTTGCTTTGAAATATTTCACAGAAAAAAGAAAACAATATAAACAATATTCAAAACTATGTACTTGCTTATTGCAGTGTTTTTTTGTGTGTGGTTTTGTTTACTTTTTGGGTACTCTTCTGAATACCAGTCCCAAATTATTCATTGCGAAAATCATCCCTTTGAGAGCCTCAAGAGGTTACGTAGTAAAAACATTTAGGCTATCATCATCAGTTTCCACTTGTGCCATTATTGCTCGATGGATGTCAATGTTTAGACGTTAAGAGCCTAGCTGTAAACCACAAACCAACGTGCAACAGCCCTTTCAAGGGAGAACCAAAATAAAGATCGCCTACCTGTGACATGACCATTGAGCATCTTGCCGCTGCTATCACAGCCTTGCTGTAAACAACAAGACCAATCGAATAGTGCAGATATCGCAGCTTAGCTGTAAACCACAAAACAATGTGCCAACCGCATTTTTAAGGGCTAAAAAGAAAAAATATCACCCGGTGGGTAATCGATCACTGGTCACCGGCATAACAGGCAGAATACGTACAACTGTACTACTGAAGACTCGAGAGTTTGGTAAACATAAAATTATATAATAACACAAAGCATATTTTGAAGTGTTCCTATTCCATATTTTTAACTTTATGACCTCTTGTCCTGAATGGGATTTTTTTTTTTTACAGTGATTAATTTGGGACTGGTATTCGGAAGAGTACCTGTAAATGTGTAGTTTTTCTTTTCTGTAAAGGTGAGCTCTTCAAAGACTAAAACAACTGAATAAATTATGGAATTGTACAGATAGAATTACAAAGGTCAGATTTTTAAGAGCATGCATCTTTCCCATTGCAACATACGCCTGTGAGACCTGGACACTCACTAAACAAGCGGAACAGCGCATAAATGCATTTGAATATAAATGTTACAGACAGGTTCTAAGAATATCTTGGGTAAAGAAAAGAACAAATGCATCCATACTTCAAGAGCTGAATATTGAAGAGGGTTGGCTAGTAAAGACAACAAAACAAAGAAAATTGAAATATTTTGGTCACTTGAAACGTCATGGAAGTCTAGAGAGAACAATAATGGAGGGGTATATGCCTGGGAAGAGAGGAAGAGAAAGGCCAAGGAGAAGATGGGTGCAGGATGTGGCAGATGATCTCCAGATGGGTGTATCAGACGCAGGACATCTTGCTCAGGATAGGAAGGTTTTCCGGAGGGTTGTTATGGCAGCGAGGTTCCGCGAGGGACATGCTTCTGAATGAATGAATGAAAGGTGAGCTTTCTTGGCATCACCATAAGTGTCTAATAAAAGGTCCTGGCATGCACCACAAAATGTCTTTTACAGAAGGATGGAAAAAAGGGATGCCTTTAAAAAGGTGCCGGTACTGCGTACCATCAGAAACAAAGCCTTGGTCATTATGCTTTTCAAAGATTCCCAGCCAGAAAAGGCTCGTCAGCCGTGGCTGGTATCTGTTGAAAGACAGGAAACTACATTTCAAATCTCTCTTGCCTTGAAGATACATCCAAACATGGGAAAGGATCCTGGAATAAAACCTGGGGATAAATCTAGACATGAAATCCCTAAGGCAGTTTTATTGTGTAAACAGCAATCTAGAGCTGCCACTTCATGCGCATTCTTTACCCTTCTATTTCTATATATGGACTTTAGACGTACCGAGTTTAATGCGCCCCTGACTTTGAATGCACCAGTCTTCTGCAAGTTTTCGGCCTTGAAGAACAGACTGCGACCACTCCTGACATCAGCCTGGCTGGAAGTGAAAACAGGGGTCCGGTGGATAAATGGCGAGACTCTCTCAAAGGCTTTCTTGACATCGTCCAGACTGACACCGCCTTCTGCTGCCATGTTTGAACTTTGGCACGGTGACCTTTAACTTTTAAGCCACTTTCCTGGTTTTCTCACACAGAAAAGGGTAATTGACTGTTTCTGCCTCTTCTTCCTTAGAAAGTAGGTTGGCACGTTGTATTGGGGTTTACAGATGAGCTGCGATATCTGCGCTTTCCGGTACGACACATCCAATTTCAGCAAGTCTTTAATCATTCGCCTTTTACAATGTTCTTATTAAGGTTTTTTTTTTTTATAATTAAAAATTGAAATGTTGAACCAACACATGAAATGAGTTTTATGAAACCGAATAGCTCAATTATAGCAGAAGGCATGGCACCAGGAAGGAGGGGCAGGGGCCGACCGACTCGAAGATGGGCACAGGATATAGATGACTCCTTGAATTATGAAAATGCATGAGGCGGGAGAACTGGCGAGAGATCGAGTTACTTTCAGGCAGACTGTGATGAGAGCGACGTTCTGCAAAGGACCTGCTACATGATGATGATGATGATGATCTGCTCAGTCAATGTGGTGCCATATCCACAATTAATATTGGCTGCATTGCACCACTAACACTTTGACTGTATACTCTCTCAGATAGCTGCCGACCTTCTCTTGATTTTAGCCTCCTCTTGTAGGCCTATATATTTATGTCTACTCCTTGCAACTTGCTTGAGCTATGAGTGACATCGGACATCAGAGCATTCCCATGAACGCTCTCTCTCCATCTTCAGCAGCAAGCGCAGACTTCAATTGTGATGCTACCAGTAACAGTCTGATTATATACATCTCGTCAGTTCCCCGAATGCGAAGCCAAAACCCCTGGTCACTCCCCGCAGCATCATTCTCCTCAGACCATGAATGATCTGTTTGTGCCTCTGTGCTTTTTACCTGTTCCTAAAGGGCCCTAAAGCCATTTTACTTGTGCATCAATTTACCTTAGAGTGCTCAGCTGCCTTAACCTTTAAAGACACACGATGATGATGATGCCACAGAGGATTCGTCGTTATTATCATCATATTGTCACACCGAAAGTCGTTTATAATTAGTTTCTAACAATTTATGTCCCGCGTCTTCATAGTAGACAGGCCTCTCCAAGTTCACAGTGTTTCTGCTTATACGCAACGACTTTCCCTTGGACAATTTCTTGCACACAGCCTTTCAAGCGATCTTGATGGAGATATAAAACAGGGGGGTATTTATTCCCCCAGCTCACGCATGTAGGCTAGTCTGCTGAGAAACCATCGATCCGGATGCTTCGAGACACTAGTTAAGTGATTTTGTGTATTTGTGTGGTATTGTTTAATTTGTATGTGCTGGAGGAAGACAATAAGAAACAGATGCAGAAGAGAAGCGATTGGGAAGAAAAAGACACACACGAAGAATGACGAAGAGTGTTGTTGATTTTACTGACAGGAGAGTTCGCGACCATTACAAACAATATAGACCCGAGTTTTCAAGAGCTACAGGCGTTGATTATCACATTATTTTTATTGTATTTTGGTAGCCAATATTGCTGTTGCAGAATGTTTATACCGTCTAGACAGCAAGACTGGCACGATTTTACACTGATATTGGTAAGTGAAGTCGGTGCTTTATCATTATCCTACCCCGAACAGGGAAATCAAAATCGTCCACAGGTCACGGGACAGTACAGTCTACTAATATTTCAGGGGGTGGTAGATAGGCCGAATGCAGTTGTGGGACCTAGGCTGCATGCAGTCGTGGGACTTAGTTTGCACTCTCTTGTATGACGTAGGTGGGTTGGGATTAGAGCTAGTTCTAGATGTTTTGGGGCCATTAAAAGCATCATAAAGCCGGGAAACCCGGTCTTACCCAGGGTTCGTATCTAAAATACGGACTTTCTGCCAAGGAACAAATCGCGGCAAAACTAGGATTACTTGACAATATCAATATCAACATTTGCACACAGTAGTAGCAGACGATAAATACTGATCGTTGATAATTTTGAGCGTTTCTGCAGACGATACTAGCAGACGATATTAGCGACCGTTGACCAATTTCGAGACATTACAGACGATGAAAGCCGATTAGCAATACTGTGTTCTTCTGATTGGAGGATTTAGCAGCAGTGGATGTCAGACTTGTCGGCATGCGCCAAACGCGATTAAACTCACCGCCGAGCGTATCCCCCGCGCCGCTACGTGTGGCGCGGATGGGGGGCTAAACTAGGTGACTGGGACTCATGAGTAAAGTAATTGGAGGAGGTTGCAGGAGATGCAGTAGCTGCCACTCGTGAGTCCCAGCCATCTAGTTTAGTCCCCATCCGCGCCGCATGTAGTGACGAGGGGTATACCCTCGGCGGTGAGGCACACTCGCAGATTTAGCTCTCTTTCGAACGCCATCATATTAAAGCCGCCATTTTGGGGGTTGATTCAAAGGAGAGCCTAATTATTTATTGTTTGTCAAACCTTCAGAGAGATATATCAAATATCACATCGGGCGACCTGAAGTGGACTTCGTCATCTGCTGTCCTACGGACATAATTTTGAGTTACTTTGATAACTTTGGTCTTGAGTCTCGACAGCAGTACGATATGAGCGTTGCTTACACAATGTCTAGTACTAGTAAATCCACGAAAACGTAATAAATGTATGGGAACTCTTTCAAATACAGGTCCCAAATTATTCACTTTTGGATGTTTTTCACAGTAAATAATTTAGCACCGATGTTCGGAAGAGTGCCTGTGGGAGACCCAGGTTTGGAACCTCAGTAAGGCTGGAGATTTTTTGGCTCTCCTTCGAACTTCTACCCCAGATTATGGCGGCCAAACAAATACACTAACAAGGCCTCAGTCCTTTGCAAAATGCGGAGTACTTGCCTACGCGCGGCACGGATGGGGAGCTAAGCTAGATGGCTGGGACTCACGAGCAGCAGCTACCGCATCTCCTGCAACTTCCTCCAATTTTTTTGCTCGTGAGTCCCAGGCATCTAGTTTAGATCCCCTCAGAGTGGGGGATACGCTCGGCTGTGAGTTTAATTGTAAGAACACTATCGGTAGTGTGCGTCGGAGCGCGTGGTCTCCCCACCATGTCGCTATTATCGTCTGTACTGTTGCGTGTCTTGGTCGCTCGTATCGTCTGCAGAAACGCTGAAAATTGTCGACGGTCTCTATTATTGTCTGCTACCACCGAGTGCTGATGGGACCCTCTGCCCATATGCCCGATGCGTCGAAAGGCGTGAAAAGGGATCTTTACTTTACTTACTATCCTTAGCAGTGTTGCGTGCCATTGTCAAGTAATCCTAGTTTAACTGCGATGTGTTCATCGAAGGAAGTCCGCATTTTACATACGACTGAGGCCCTGTTAGAGTATTTGTTTGGCCGCCATAATATGGGGTAAAATTTCGAAGGAGAGCCGATTTTTTTCGGGGGGAGGGGGTTAATAAAATTTTCACCTGCACAGTCATGGCGACAGCACTAAACATGAACCATAAATTTGCAGGCTCAAAGCCTATACCGCAAAAATGGTATAATAAAGGCAATTGGCAGATTGTTTGAGGAGCGGCTGACTGAACATTTAAAATCTTAGGGCATTCATATAATTTTAGACCTGGTTTTTGTTCTCCTCGTAATGATCCAGAATGCCATTTATTGCATTTTTATTCATAAACTTCTAAATCTTTTGTTCTGATAAAATATTACTCAGATTAAATTATTCACTTTTTCATTCTTGTGTCACTTCAGAGGTCTAAGGTAGTAAGCATTCTTTGGATATTTTCTCCAGGTCATGGCGGTATGTTAGGAAATGAGCAGGCAGATAGACTGGCTGGCTCTGCACCACTTGGCGGTGAATTGATGTGTGACAAGTCAGATATTGTGAGGACCTTTGGGAGCGGGTGAACAGTGCGAAGGCGCAGATAGATCATTACGGTCCAAGGAGAATGGCGCTGTGAGGAGTTATTAGGGGTTCTGGCTGACGCTCAACACTCAGGGGAAGGATGAGATGGATATACAATCAGACGGTTGCTGGTACCATCAGAATTTGAACTCTTCATTTGCTGCTGAAGATAGGGACTGAGCACTTTTGGGAGTGTCCCAAGTCATGTGATGTCAATTCCTAATTTATATTTCAACATAATGTATTTTATTTATAAGCTTGTAAACATTTTACTTGTATTCTGACAAAATGCTCTTCTTATTAAATCAAGTCACTTTTCATTCCTGCATCAAGTATAATGATGCAGCCTCAGATGTTCACCCTCAGATGTTCGACTGTCGCTGTCCTGTGACGTCTTCGGGAAGGGGGAGGAGGATATTACAAAAGAACTGGTAACTTTTGTGTGTAAAAATTTTAAATTTTGCATATAAAATTAAATTTAACTAGGGAGATTCAATCATTCATTCATTGATTGCTATGTGAATAGAATAAAAATTGCAATTTTTAGATTTTATTCATTTTTCAGATGCCTTGCTGGAGTGGACTAGACACTCTGATCACTCTCCATACCAAACTGGCAGTTTTGTTTTCATGACTGTTGAAGCTGAAAATCGTGATAATTACAAGTTGCTGTACAAATTGATTCATTCTCACAGCGTTCAGTCTTCTTTTCTTTGTCTTCGTTTTTGTCAGAAAACTTATATCAGGAGGCAGGTAGCCTTTATGAAAGCTATTGTGCAGTCCATATCCTCTCGTGTACCATACAGTGATACTATAGTCTGAAGATTGAGACTATTCTTATATTCTGTATTATATCATGTGATGCGACACTAAACCCTGTCTTTACAGTACCCTAAACAAACTTTCCACCTCATTTGTCTTATGGTGCATTCAACATTAAAGTCAAACGGGTTGTTTCTCCTATTGTGTTGTGGCGTACAGGAAGGATGCAGTAGTATCTGTGACTTTTAACCCAAAACATCTGATTTCAGCAAATCCCTCATCATTCCTCCTCTAAACCTCCCAGGGAGTCCCTGTGGTGTAGCGGCTAGACGCTCGCCAGAGGATCAGAAGGTAAGGCTGGTTGGTTCGGGTCCTAATGGAGCCTGACTTTTTTCAAACATGACCTTGGCTCCCAAGTTGACCCCCGCCTTGAGTGGATACCAGAAGCAGTTCTGGGAAGTAAAGGCAGCCAACGTGGTGCTGACGACATCACCCACCAAGTGCTGATTGGTCTTTAGTAGTTTATAGATCTAGCTCTTTGCCCAGTGCACCTGAAGGTATGGAGAAAAGTTCTTTAGTTTACTTACCTACAAACTGCTTTGTTGGATGGGGGGGGGGGGGGGGGTGGATCTGTTCCTTCCACCCCACCCCCCCCTCCCCTCCCACAGAATTTGGGGCCATGGACCCCGTGGAGGGGACAACATGTTTTTAAATCACTCTTCTAGTTCTTGATTGTTCTAATTATTATATTGTTTCTTTGTTTCCTCCTCCACTTTTTTTAGCCGACTGTTTCTGTTGGAAATGTAGGGCAACTGGCAGCTGACCTCATCATTTCGACACTACATTTGGAGCGGGTTGGATACGTGTTGCATCCTAGTTTGCTTCCCGTAATAGGCAGTAACCCATATGCTGATGATGATGATTCTGCTTCATATAAGTTAACTACCAGTTGTGAAGGTACGTTGCAGTCAACCAGTGTACTTGCTGTCTTTATGGGGGCATTGTGCATGTGTACATATTGTCTGTGTGTGTGTTCAAATGTACATATTAGTTCTATATGTTCATGTGTACATATTGTCTGTGTATGTGTGTGCGCATATGTACTTATTGTCTATGTGTCTTTATTGTGTTCATATACACATTGTCTTTGTGTATTTGTTATCTGTGTTGTCTGTGTGTACATTATGTCTTTTCATACACGTTGTCTTTGTTCAGATATTGTCTTTGCATATGTATTGCCTGTGTGTTGGAGTATTGTCTTTGTTCAGATATTGTCTTTGCATATGTATTGCCTGTGTGGGAGTATAGTGTCTTTGCATATGTATTGCCTGTGTGGGAGTATAGTGTCTTTGCATATGTATTGCCTGTGTGGGAGTATATTGTCTTTGCATATGTATTGCCTGTGTGGGAGTATATTGTCTTTGTTCAGATATTGTCTTTGCATATGTATTGCCTGTGTGGGAGTATAGTGTCTTTGCATATGTATTGCCTGTGTGGGAGTATAGTGTCTTTGCATATGTATTGCCTGTGTGGGAGTATATTGTCTTTGCATATGTATTGCCTGTGTGGGAGTATAGTGTCTTGCATATGTATTGCCTGTGTGGGAGTATATTGTCTTTGCATATGTATTGCCTGTGTGGGAGTATATTGTCTTTGCATATGTATTGCCTGTGTGGGAGTATAGTGTCTTTGCATATGTATTGCCTGTGTGGGAGTATAGTGTCTTTGCATATGTATTGCCTGTGTGGGAGTATAGTGTCTTTGCATATGTATTGCCTGTGTGGGAGTATATTGTCTTTGCATATGTATTGCCTGTGTGGGAGTATAGTGTCTTTGCATATGTATTGCCTGTGTGGGAGTATAGTGTCTTTGCATATGTATTGCCTGTGTGGGAGTATAGTGTCTTTGCATATGTATTGCCTGTGTGTTGGAGTATATTGTCTTTGCATATGTATTGCCTGTGTGGGAGTATATTGTCTTTGCATATGTATTGCCTGTGTGTTGGAGTATTGTCCTTGTGTACGTTTGCCAGTGTGCATATTTGGCTCTTTTGTAAAAAGTCATCCCAGATGACATCATGTGGAAAGTCTAATATTTTATAGGGTGGTAAGACTGGGTTTCCCGGCTTTGTAGTGCTTTTAACTACCCCAAAACACCTAGAACTGGACCTAACCCCAACACACAAGAGTGTGCAGCCTAGGTCCCATGACTGCATGCAGCCTATCTACCATCCTTTGAAATTTTGGACTTTTTTTGTTTAGGGTGAATAAAAACGAAAGCACTGCACATTTTTTCCTTTGTGTATATATTGTCTGTGTATGAATATTATCTCTCTGTCTATGTGTTTACTGTCTCTGTGTGTTTATTGACTCAGTGTGTTTATTGCCCTTGCATACAGATTATCCCTGAGTGGGGTATTGTCCTCGTTTTCATAATGCCCCTGTATGTATGTATAGTTTTTGGGGGAGGTTTTTTCTTGTAAATACTTTATTCTAAAATATTATAAATATGGCCAATTTTTTGTTTTTAAACCTTCTTGTCCAATTTTATTTTCAGTCTTTGAGAGTGTGGTGTCCAAGATTGTGGTTATACAGCAGAGGGCGCCAGTCATTAAGGTTTGTTCAGTTTGATTTTTAAAAAAAAGAGGTAATAGGTGTTTGCACTGATATTCACATTTTACCTTGTTTAAAGAGACTCTTGACAGAGTACAAAATAATGCCCTTCGATTAATCTGCGGAGCTATGCAGTCTACACCAACTGCTGCATGTGAAATCCATACAAATGTGGAACCCCTCGGGTTGCGGAGAGAAAAAGCCACTTTAGAAATTTATGAAAGATGCGTTAGGAAAAATCGTAACCATCCTAATAGACATCTTGTAGAAAACTGGGAATCCAAACAAAGAATAAAGCACAAATCGGTTTTACACTGTGTAAATGAAATTCAGGACAGATACCACCTCCCAGAAAGACGTCAAGGAATTCAGAATGTTGCAAAAAACCTACCACCACATGCTCGCTTTAAAGCTCCAGAAGTCCAAACTAAATTGGTAGGCGAGGAAACCAAACAGTCCGACCCAATCGCTCTTATGAACTCATCACTAAAGACCGTTGATTCTTACCCCCAAGAATGGATACATGTCTATACTGATGGATCAGCATTTAAAGCTACCATTAAAGCAGGTTACGGAATCTACATAGGTTATCCCGATGGATCTGTTGAAGAGATTTTTGATGCATGCGGGGAATTCTGTTCAAACTATGAAGCTGAAATAATTGCACTGGAAACAGCAGTATACCACCTAAAGACTGTAATGGATGTTTACCCCTCAAAGGTCCAAAATATTGTCATCTTCACAGATTCAATGTCTGCCCTTCAAGCTCTGGAGGGCAATGAACGCTGCAGAACTGACATAGCCAAGATAATCCTGGATGCCGATCATCTTATTACCTCATACAACATCAGAATAGTGATGCAGTGGATTCCAGGTCACTCCGGCACACCAGGTAATGACAGAGCTGACAGATTGGCAAAGAAAGGAGCAACACAAGAACAACCACCTACAGCGACAACCCTCCAGACAGCAAAAACACTGATAAGAGCTATAAACAAAGAGACTTGGTTGAACAGATGGGCCATGGGAGACACTGGAAGAGAGGTTTATAGACATGTCTGGCCCTGATCCTAATGACAGCATTAACCATCTAACAAGAAGGGACCAGGCCACCATCTTCAGACTTAGAACGCAACATACTCCACTCAATGGACACCTAAACAGAATACAGCCACAACACTCCCCAGAGTGCCAGCTATGTAACTACCCCTACGAAACTGTTGAACACCATCTCTTTGAGTGCCCAAAACTCAGTGAGACAAGAAGAGCGCTACTCCCTCCGAGACCAGACAAGTGGAACACCTTGTACGGAGGAAAAGAACAGCTTGTGAAAACATGCAAATTCCACTACATGGCATTGGGCCAAAGGGCGAAAGCTCATGCGCCGCTGGATCGATAACAACAACAACAACAACCTTGTTTAAAGGGTTAAGATGATTCCTTCATAGAAACTAATGCTCAAGTATGGAGTGTTCTTCTTTTTCTTCTCCCTCTTGTCTTTTCTTTTTCGTCTGCTCCTTCTCTTATTCTTTCTATTCTTCATAATCTTATTCTATTTTTTATCTACCAATGGAGCATTAATTCTCAATGTTGTGAATGTTTTTATATTAGGTGGAAATGATCATATCATTAATATATTTAACCCTGTCACACCAGTGACCTAGAAAAACATAACCATACTCCGCTAATTTCCTTTTTTTTAGGGAGATTCTTAAAACAAGAATTCTCCAGAAAAATCATCAATTGGGAGACCAAGGTTTGAATCTTTGGTAAGCTAATGGAGAGGATTTTTGTTGAGAGCAAAAATAAAAACCCTGAAACTCACAGTGAATGCTCTAGCCCGTGTGCTGTAAATCCTGTCTTCTGCTTCCTTGTTTTTTTGTGTGCTTTCCTAATATTCTACCCCAAACAGGTGAAATCCACAGGTCACGGGACAGTCTAATATTTCAGGGGGTGGTAGGTAGGCTGCATGCAGTCGTGGGACCTAGGCTGCACTCTCTTGTCGGACGTAGGTGGATTGGATTTAGGGCCAGTTCTAGATGTTTTGGGGTTGTTGAATGCATCAGAAAGACAGGAAACCCAGTCTTACTACCCTCTAAAATGTTAAACTGTCCTGTGACTGTGATGTCATGTGGGGTATGATATTACAAAAGAACCCCTTTTATTTTGTGTATGTATGTGTGTGTGTGTGTGTTGTCTTGCTAGTTTTTCAGATCAGAAGGTCACTGGCCTCTATGAAGTCTGTGATACCTCGCATGTCGTCCACTGTTCCATACATATGGGTTTCCAGGTTTCCTTTGGAATGCCAACCAGCCAAACCTGGGGTCATGTAGAGAGCATGCCTGTAGCACACTGGTTCTCAAACTTCCTAATGCCGCGACCCTTTGATACAGTTCTTCATGTTGTAGCAACCGCCAGCCGTACAATTATTTTCGTAAACTTCGGGGAACGTGTGTTTTTTCATGGTCTTTGGCAACCCCAGTGAAAGGGTCGTTTGACCTACAGACAAATTGCGACTCACAGGTTGAGAACCACTGACATAGCACATGCTCATTATCTATGGTGTCCATCTACCTGGGCAAAGTTCTGAATCTCCAGACTGGAATTTCTTGTACACATGACGGCAGTTCTAGGCCATCCTATAATACTGGTAGAAGTAGACAGTAAGGACAGTTTAATTTCTTGTTGTTGTAAATTCAAGGGTAGAAGTCGGAGCACTGAATTCTGGTGATAAATTTTCCCAGTGTCTGTGCAGTGCCCCCTAACCAGCATGTCTGAAAAATGCAACTAATTGGGGCTGTTTCCTTCGAAGCTGGAGTGTATCTGCCTAAGGTGTAAGAAACCAACAGTCTGCATACAGGTGAGCAAGATCTGTAAAAGGGATATACATGTGAATGTTCTCTCGAACATGACTGGAGTCTAGAAATGGATGAATGACCAGAACTTTCTGCCGCAGTTTACCGGCAGTGAACGCTGAGAATAAGAAGAGGTGATAAATGTACACTTTTTTGTGGAGCTGTGTTTACAGAATTCTTTTCACTTTTTTTGTGTCCTCATCGCGTACTTTGCCGACTGGCGTGGTTGGTCATGCCTCTTCACAATTGGCTATCTGCAAATGCGTGTATCAGTTCATGTGCTAACATCGCTCCGTACCATGTCAAAAGACTGTCAAGAATCTTCTCACGCTGTCTTCCTCTGTCTCTCTTTCTGCAGATCTTTTCTGTGGTCACAACATATTCTGTTTTCCATCTTCTCATAAAATTACAAAAAAAATGAGGACTGTCTCTTTCTGATGTGTGTAAGAAGTTTTCTTCGGGTACTCGCCTCTTTCAGAACATCTGGGTTGCTGTGTTTACGTAGCCATGTTTAAACACAAATTCTTTTCTGAGAAAATGTAAACCTTTTTATATAGCCATGTTTAAACACAAATTCTTTTCAGAATAAATGTAAACCTTTTTATATAGCCATGTTTAAACACAAATTCTTTTCAGGGTCAAAGAAAATATACGCAGACTGGTTATCAGACTGGATAAAAAGCCAACATTTTCGCCAAGTGGTTGTACTGACCAGTTCATTTGCACAGGATAGACTTGACCATCAGATTTCAGGGTACTGTTTTCTTTTTTTTTTTTTTTTTTTTTTTTTTTTTTTTTTTTTTATGTTTGCACAGGTTAGACTTGACCATCAGATTTCATGGTACAGTTTTCTTTTTTTTTTTTTTTATGTTTGCACAGGATAGACTTGACCATCAGATTTCAGGGTACAGTTTTCTTTTCTTTTCTTTACATTTGCACAGGATAGACTTGACCATCAGATTTCAGGGTACAGTTTTTTTTTGTTTTCTTTACATTTGCACAGAATAGACTTGACCATCAAATTTCAGGGTACAATTGTCTTTACATTTGCACAGGATAAGCTTAATTTCTGGGTACAGTTTTTTGTTGTGTTTTCAAGTGTTAGATTCTCAGATTTGTAGGTGTTTTATACTGTATATTTGTGACCTGCTTCGACTATAATGTGGATGATCTTGCTTTACCATACAGGAAGAGACCTGTAATGTAGGCCAGAAATTCGGTGCTGTAGAGCACTATTTGCTAGAGTGTAGGAAATATGAAAACCAAAGGAAACCATTAACTGACTACATGAATCTCTGTAAATTACCTATGACGATAGAAAATCTGCCGCACATAATCAACCCCTAGACAGCTGCGTGGCAAGGTCAAGCAATTGATTACTAAGGCTGAAACCCAAAAATAGAAGGGTGAAGAATGTCCATGGTATCTTTGAAGAAGTTTCCCCTAAAGATCAAATCGAGGAGAATAATCAATGAGTGCACACTAAGGAAAACATAAATGCACCATGTTGGTGACACAATGTAAGTAATATTGTCTAATCATTTATAGTAGTTTTTATTATAATCCCAAATCAAAGCAGTATGTGAAACAATACAAATTACATACTGATTATATAAATAATTACATGATATATAAATATAAAATAACATATACTCTGAGAACTCAGTTAACACTATATGTCCCAATTACAACTTTGAGGGTTGAACCGGATATTTTTGACAAATTACTGCTTCATATTTGTGACTAGAGAGTTCAATTATGAAAATGAAAGAGCTGATAAACTAGCTAAGAAAGGAGAAGAGAATAATCAAATCTATCAGAAAGCCACCAAAACTGGCAAAAGATGATTACCATATTCTGGACAGACCAGATCAAGTTATTATTCTACGCCTTAGAACAGGACACAGTCGACTTTCCAGCCACATGTACACAAAATTTGAAATTGGCAAAATTTGCACATGTGGATGAGACAACATATCACTTTCTCCAAATACAACATATCAAGGCAAAACTTTTGGCCAAGAAAAACACCAGAGCAAGTCAAACTTTACGGGTCGCTGAGTGAATGACAACAGACAGTAAAGTTCATACTAGGAACAACATTGCAGATATAGATAATCTTTTTTCCAGCGAACGAAACAAGGAGAAGGGGAAAATGTGGACACTTGCAACCCAAAATGTCTTGATTGGTGATCTGGTAATTGCAGATTCTACTTCATAGCAAACAAGTCTCCTCATTGCTGCTCCGTTCCTGTGTCAGTGAAAATCACACACAGTGTCCATCACTGTACCTTGTGAAAAAACTGGCATAAACACACACTGAATGCATAAGGCAACCATCAGAAGTGCCAACTTAAACAGTCTGACATTAGAAATGCTGGTCGTTGTCAATGGAAGCTGCAGTTACAGCAGATTAATTGTTGCACACGCGACCAAATGCGTACTCATTCTGACTGGAAGCTGTATTGGCAGGTGGTTCATTTTCCACTAATGTGGTTCATTTTCCACTAATGTGGTTCATTTTCAATTGACCTTGGCATCCGTGTTGACCTAAACTGGACTGTACACCGTCTTAGTTAACAGTTTTTGTCATCAACGAATATTTTTAGATCCAGTGAAGCGTCGCGGGGAGGCTAATTGGGACTTTACTGAAATCGGATTTCTTTGGGGTGAAAGGAGCAGATATCGCAGCCTAGCTGTAAACCACAAAACAACGTGCCAACTGCCCTTTTAAGGGAAAAAGGAAAAATTAGCACCCAGTGGGGAATCGAAACACCTGTCACCATCATGAAAGATAGAATACTTACAACTATACTACTTAAGAGTTTGGTTCAGATATCACAGCCTAGCTTTAAACCACAACACAAGGTACCAACCTCCCTCTCAAGGGCGAGCGAAGATTACCAGTGACATGAGCGTCAGGTCGCCGCTATCGCAGGCTAGCTGTGAACCCCAAAACCGAGCTAAAAAAGGCACAGATATCGCAGCCTAGATGTAAACCACAACACAATGTGCCAGCCGCCTAGTTAAGGGCAAAAAAAAAATGTATGTCACACAGCGGGCAATCAAACGCCGGTCACCCTCATGAATGGCGAAATACTTACAACTGCACTACTAAAGACTCGAGAATTTAGTAGAAATGAAATTATATAATAATGCGAAGTTCAGTGTTTTACACACACACACACACAGTCAAAGGTCGGCAGAACTAAAAACAAATCCAGGCTAGCAACGAAACAAATAATGATTTGATCATTGCTGTAGCTATGACGTTCATGGTTTGTGCAAACCTCATACATACAAACAGGCACTGAGTCGAAGGCAACGTTGTGTGAAAATTTGAAAGCAATCAGTGACGAACTTTCGGAGATTATAAATAACAAAAATGGAAAATTAACATTTTTACTTTGATAGATTGTGTATGCAAGCTTTTGGACTTTGCCAACACTAGTTTATTTGTTGACTAGTTTGCGAACAGGACAGTGAAGAGCAGTTAGTAAGATTTTCATTCACACAGGAACACAGATATTGTTAGGTAACCTGTTTGCAGTAAATGTGAAACCTTGACTTTCAACATGTAAACTATAGTCTTATGTGCCTTGTATCAGCTAAAGCCGGGATTTCTTCAGTGACTTACTGCACAGCTGATGCAGTCTGTAGTCCTCGCTGCCCTACTAAAGTATTGTTAGTTCACTGGTCTTCAACTTGAAGTCCATGCCGTGTGGCGTTGATAGTCATGTGTACTTTTAGTCAACTACGATACAGATGCTCCTCCATGCCATGATTTCAGACTGCCCAGCATCTTCACTCTGTCTCCCTTGGCCTCTCCTCCCCTCCAACTTTCCTACCGTCATGATGTACTCCAGTTTTCTCCTTCTGGCATCACATAAGCAAAGAATGTAGATTGTCTCTTTCTGATGTGGGCAATCAGTTCTTTTCGTGACTCATTTTCTTTTTTAAGACATTAGTTCACTGTAAAACAGTATAATCTATGTAGAAATGTGTTTCTTTTATATTACTTTTTAAACATCACCTTTTTTAACTCAAAACTACTGTACCAATCTTTAGGTCACCATTCCGTATACTCCTCTCCCCCGTACTGGAGGAACAAGAAGGAGAGTTCTTCAAAACAAAACTGGAGTGGGTCAAGTTGGAGCCGAGACAGCCCAACCCTGCCTTCACTCAGATCCAAAGCCCAGCGGACAGCTTGCCAGGGAATGGTTACCTACATATGCCTGGTTCAGGCATTGCCAAGTTGGTCTTTGACAATTGGTAAGCATGTTGGCATTTTTTATTTTTGTGTCCACCTAGCTATAAATCTACTTACCTACTTTCTTGCATACATACCTGTCTGTCTGTTTGCCTGTCTGCGTAAACTGTCTTTGTCTGCCTGCATATGTATATGTCTGTTTATCTCTGTCTCTCTATTCATCTGTCTGCCTGCCTGCCTGCATATCTATATGACTCTGTTTCTCTGTTTATTCATCCATCTATCTGCATGGCTGCCTGCATATCTATATGTCTGTATGTTTATTTCTCTGCCTGTGTGTTTGTCCATCTGTCTGTCTATCTATTTATCTATGTATCTGTCTGTATGTATATGTGTGTGTGTTTACATACGTATGTACACATATTGAATGTTATGTTTGTTTTAATATCAAAATCAAATCGGCTTTCAAATCTAACTGCGACTCGCTGTAGCCCACGGATGGTATTCAAAATCGGCCGGTTCCCGGGGTTTACCCAGCCTCTAGGAAATGGTTACCAGAGTTAACATTCTGGGGTAAATTTTGGAACATCGCTGTAACTACTGTGTTACGTGCGGACGGCAACACAGATGGAAAATTTCTTATCAGCTGTCCGTATTAATGGCAGAGCACTTATGGTTTATAACCAGGTGCAATGATGCTGGTTCACATCTCCCGACTTTACCTTTACTTTTTTGTAAAAATACATGTTTTCTTTTCCATCAAAGAGTTAACCTTCTTTGTAGTTGTCATTGCATACTTGTATTTTTCAATCAATAATGACCCATCTTTTCATCATCGAATTGCTATGGATCATTCCAGCCAAGAGTTACCCGTCCTTGTGTTGCTGATGTTCGTCTCTGAAGGAGACAATGCCCTTGATGCAGTCGCTGTTGCGGATCAGATAAACAAGTGGTTGAGTCTACTCCCTAATCAGGTAGGAAGTTCCTATTATGGGTTCCAGTACCTTATTTTCAGGGAGAGGTACAGTTGAGAGGATCGACTTTATTGCACCAGTGTCTTAAAAATCCCATATGGCTCAGTCTCTCTCTGCAGAACAACTAGCTGCCTGCCGAGAACAAGAATCGGTCCACTACCCTGCTAACCATTATGTTGTAAAAATTCTGCTAATTGGGGAATGTATCCTTCTAAGTTTGAGTGCATCTGCCGGAGAGTCAAGGAGACAAACATTTTGTACAAATAAGCCAAATTTGTAGAGGGGGGAATTTGTAAGTCAAACTCAAGTCCTGAAACAAGTCCTGGTCTGTTTGAAAATCCAGCACAGTTTAGAGTCCAACCCATAACCTGCCCAGCAAGTTGTTACACAACTGATATTATATTCTTCTTCTGTCCTACTAACACCCAATGGAGCATAGGCCCTCAACCAATGCCAAGTTGTTCTATCCCTCTTTTATCACTTGCAGCTCTATGCAGGTCTTTTTAACTGCACTCTCTAACTCCCTAGTTATATTGTTCTCAGGCTTTCTCATCTTGTGTCCTATTCAATGCCAGACTTCTTCTCTTCACCTCTTGGTCCACTGTTTAGTTTCTCTCCCAAAGCTCTATGTTAGTGATTCTATCATACCATTTAGTTCTCTCCCAAAGCTCTATGTTGGTGATTCTATCATACCATTTAGTTCTCTCTATTCTGCAGTACTGATCTGACATTACAATTAATAATTTTAAGTTTAGTATTAGTTTTAATTTCTGTTGACCTCCACAAATTCCCTAGTGCAATTAAAGCTCTTCTTGCCTTTTGTATTCATATATTAATACCTCTATCAGTTCCTCCATCTTTATCGACATTACTACCCAAATAGGTGTACGACTCCACGTCTTGGAGTGGGATACCATTTAGAGAAACCACATTACTATTTGCCTGATGAATTGTCAGACCCAGCTTTGATTTCGTATCAAGCGTATTTAATTTATCTTGCATCTGATTCCATGAGTGGCACAGAAGGTATATATCAGCGAAGTCCAGATCCTCAAACTGTTTTGTAGGGGTCCACTGAATTCCATTCTTGGTGCTAGCAGTTGTTGTCTTCATAATCCAGTCAATAGCCAGTAAAAATAGGAGAGGTGACAAAAGACATCCCTGTTGCACACAACAGTTTCCATTTCACATGTATCTGTTAGCTTTCCCTCATGAAGAACTTGACATTTGACATTGGGGAAGATATAAAACCAACAAAAAGTATATCATCGAGCTTCACAATGTAACAAACACAAACAAAACTTGAAAGTTAGGGCTATGAAGCCTTCTTCAGCACAATACACAGATTAGACAATACTACACAAGCACACAATATCACTTATCTTCGTATTTCATGGCAACCAAGTCGATGTCAAGACAATAGTCTGGCGAGGTACGTGGGGTCGGGAAAATAAATATCCAGCAATATGCCAGAGGCTGTCACTTGAGGATAAGATGAAACTGTGTAGGCAGTTCAGCCCCCTAAGATTTAGAGGAAGCTGTGTTGGCAGTTTAGTCCACTGGGCGCCAGAGTTCCCAAAGTGTATATAAAGCGATTTTCAAGAGACTGCTATTTGACATTATATAAATGATTAAAAACCATTATTTATTTGCAGGATCCCTGTGATACAGAAGAGCCCCAAGGACATTTAAAGCGAAGGCCAGTCACCTGGAAGATCCCTCGATCCTGGAGACTTGTTTTTGGCAGCACATATGAACCCAAACTTTTCCATTGATAGAATATTTCATCATCATCATCATCATCACTCAGCTGGGAGAGAATATTTGATAGTCACACTAAATCACGGGCGTAAGCCAAGGGAAACCATCATACTGACTTCCCAAGAATAAGTTTACAGAGAATCACAGAGTTAGCATCGGAAGCCATGGTACCACAGTGACTAGACACTTGCCTGTCAGCGTGAAGGTCGTGGGTTCAAACCAGCATCAGCAGAGTTGTTGTAATAATTGATCTTGGCTTTCAGGCGAATTCTGCCTAAAATGTATACCAGGAAGTGTCCTGGGAGGCAAAGACTGTCAGTTTGGATGTTGACTGAGCACATTCTCCCTTAACTCTTTCAGTACCAAGAGGCATTTAGGTACCGTATTTCCTCAAGTATAAGACACACTTATTTTCTTAAAACATAGGGTCTTCTTCTTCTTTGTTCACTGGCTGTAAGCTTCGGCGGAAAGTCCTGGTTGTTCATCTGTCTGGACTTTAGGCTTTGTGCCAGGGCCTGTGCTTTGCGTGTACATCTATCTGTTTTACTGGTTTATTTGTGTGCAGCTGCTTGTTCCTGTCCACTTAAGCAAATGCATTCTGACTTCGAAGGAAGCCTCCTATGACATGCTTGTTTAGAAGGCAGTGGGTCTGTTCTTGTTTTCCCCTAGAATGGGGCCCTGGAACCTACATAGGGGAAACATGGTGTCTTCAAACAGTGTGCCTCTTATACAATGGTAGTAGATTTTTACCAAACGATTTGTTAGGAAATATCCTATACGGGGCCTCATTTGAGACTGCCGATTCAGGGCAAAAGAGAAGGTTGCCTTGAGTGACGAATGGAATCAATGAATGGAGTCATCTGCTGAGAGTTTGACACCAGCAGGTAACCACATGTACTCAACATTCAAGATAGGCCTATCAGCCATGAGCACCTGTGGAAAGGTGCCCCAGACAGCAGAGCATGTACTCTAGGTCTGCACAGAATATGATACATAAGGCAAACCTTAATGTTTAACACACTCCCTCATGTGGATTTTGAAGCCCTATTACAGGAAAAAACAAGAGAAGACCCACTTCTTTTTCTTTTGTTGATACCAGGTTGTAGCCCACTATGGTGGTTTTCTGTATTTGTCTTGTGCTTCTAGGGTGGCTTGTATGATGGATTGGTTCTTTTTTCTCATGCAGGTTTTAGATACACCATTTATGCATCTCATTGTTGGTATTCCTCACCTTCCTTCTAGTGTTCTACTGTAAAAAAAAAGTCTCTTATGCTGTTAGGTCTGGCTGCATTCTCACTATATGGCTGAGCCATTTTATTCTTTGCCTGTCAGTATAATCCAGATATGGTCTTATCCCAACTTCTCTCTCTAATGCTGGTATTCGTAACCCTGTCTCGTATAGTGTTGTTAGTAGACCTTCTGCCTACATAAAAGCTTGATATAAGAATCAACTGATTAGGAGCTTCCTTCAGAGTCAGAGTAAATCTGCCTGAGAGGCAAAGAACCAAAAGTCTGCATAAAATAATAATGTACACGCAACACCCAGTTTATGTTGTTTTTTTTTTTGCAGCATGGCCAAAGTCCATAGGTAGACAAATAACCAGAACTTTCCGCCTAATTTTGCAGTCGGTGAATGTGAAAAGGAAAAGGAGAGGAACACTCAGGGGAAAGGCGAGATGAAATGCAATCAGACTATGTGACCGCATCGCCTGGGCTGTGAGTGGTAACAGTCGATGTATCATGTGATTACAAAGAGTAAATGTTGAATTAAGAATCAACAAAACAGCACTTGGGACACCCCATAAGCGCTCTGTCCTTATCTTCAGCGGCAGGCGAAGAGTTTAAATTCTGATGGTACCAGTAACTGTCTGATTGAATATCCGTCTTGCCTTTCCCCGTGTGTCGAGCGTCGGTACAAAGAGTATGTGTCTCTGTACACGTAGCATACCTGGTACGACCTGTACTGACATAATTGACAGAATTACATGGTCCCTGTGATTAATTTTGTTGTTTGTTAGAGTGACTGATAGATTTTGTTTGTGTTTCCGTTATCATCCACTATCATGTGGCATGTCAAATAAATCTTTTTTGTGACGGAGTATTGAGAACTTGGTCTGTTTTTTTGCCTGTTGCCATTACCCATCTTGTTTGATAGGTTACCCTTCTTGTTTGTCTCTGGTTCCTTAGGGAACTTGAGAGGAAACTTATTAGGTTACCTAGAAACTCATCAGGAGCTGTCATGGTGTAGTGGCTAGATATTTTACTGCTGATCTAAAGGTCATGGGTTCAAATCCAGACGGAGCCAGATTATTTTCTCTCTAAAAATGACCTTGGCTCTCAGGTCAACCCAGCCTCTAATGGGTACCAGGTAATGTATTGGGAAGCAAAGGTGGCCGTCATAACACTAACTACATCATCCACTGAGTGCCGACTGATCTAGAAACAGTATAGGTCTAGCCCAATATACCCAAAGGCATATAACAGGGTCCTTTACTAGAATAGACACATGTACTTCAATGTGGTTTGAACTGCCATTGATGAATTTGTGCTTTGTATTAAACAGCGCTCCCCCATACGCGCCAGTGATGGCTCCCATGTTGACCCAACCTGATATGGGTGCCAGGTACTGTTCTGGGAAGTAGTGGCAGCTGACTTGACATACTGTGTGCCGATTCATCTTTAAAAATATAGATTTGGCACCATAGACACAATGCATCAAAAGTGTCTGTTTCTTTCCTAACTCTTTCAATACCAGTCAACTCACAGTTTGATTTTTTTATTTGAAAGATACTGTGATTGATGCTCTTGCTGTCTTCTGCCACTGACAGGTATTATATTAACCTCTTTTATCTGAATGATTAGTTTTAACTACACTTACCCTATGTTTCCTCTGAGGAACTATTTCATACCTTAGTATTTATTGCCTCTGGGCTCACTCTTTGTGATAAAACTTGCTGAAGAAATATATTGCTTGCGACTCAAAGAGTTCAACTAAAACTAAGATTGTTTTGACTCTGCAAAACAGATAAAACTAGTTATACATTAATTTCCATCATAATTTTAACAAATCACTTGTTTCAGAATTCTTTATTTCCACCCAAAGTGCATAATTTAGGAAATCCATGCAAGTTAACTGAAATTAAACATTGTATCAAACTCTAAAAAATTAAATACATAGTTCAGAAACATTTAGAACACCTAAAACAATTGCAAATAAACAACTAACATTCATAATCTGTGCCTGCGTAGAATAAAAGGAATTAAAACAGTACAGGAAAATAATAATAATAATGTTGGGCAGATTGGGTGGGAGGCGGAGGGGGGGACACTTGATAGACCATAGATTAAGAAAACATGATAATAGTATGCCTTGAATCTTCTGGCAATGGAACCCACAGTGCAGAGGAGACAGAGGGAGACCTAAAAGCACTTACAAAAAATAATTAGAAATATACATAAATAATAAGGGGAGGGCATGAATGAGGATAGCAAAATAAAGACTGCTTTGAATGAGCTTGGTTGAGGGCTTATGTTCCAGTGGGGGAATAGAAGCCAGAGGAAAGTGTGTGGTGGCACAGAGTGCACGTAATATGGTTGCCTATAAATTGACACCATTACCGGTCCCAAACCCGGATCAGAAAGAAGAGGGTCAGGTGTAAGGCAAGTTCCCCTCCCCCACCCTCGGCCATTTTAGAGCAGTCGATAAGAGGCTCGCTTTCAAATCCAGCTGCAGCCCACGGTCGGTGTTCGAAACCGAGTGGCTCCGGGGGTTCACCCAGCCTCTAGGAAATGGGTACCAGTGTTGACACTCTGGGGTAAATGGAGGAACATCGCTGTAGCTATAACGTTAAGTGCGGACGGCGACACAGGCGGACAATTCTTATCAGCTGTCCGTACTGGTGGCAGAGCACTTATGGTTTATAATCGTGTGCAATGACGCTGGTTTACATCTCCCGACTTTACCTTTTTACCCCCCCCCCCCCCCCCCCCTCAACCACTCTTATCCAATAAGTTATTTCGCAGGAAAGGATGCACTTCCGGTAAACAAACAAGTCAAGTGGTGTGTGGCACACAGTTATGGATGAAAGCCACTCTGCGGAAGTAGGTGGCCAGATATTCACACATTGCTTGGCTAAAAAAATAATCACTTGCTTATAAATGGAGATGACAAATGAAAAAGACATGCTGGATTGAGCTGGTTGATGGCTTATGCTCCATTAGAGGAAAGAGACTGGCACCATTAGGCTTAGAACTGTGCTGGCTTAAGGGGATGGAGCACACGTGGGAATGCCCCTAGTGCTTTGATATCAGTTCTTGGCTCACCTCAACTCAGCTAGGGGATAGAATTCAGAAGGTAACATTAAGGACCTTTTTAACACCAGTCTTCTTTTTCTTCATCGTTCCTTCTGTCAGTACACCTTTTTTAAGGAGCTCAGTATTGTCACAGGTGGCTATACACAAAATGAGCCCAACACTAAATTTCACAAATACTGCGTAGAAGACAAGATGTATTTACGTAGATTACATATATTATTGTCTTCTTTTTTTTTTTCAGTCTGCACACAATTGAGTCAGATCTGTCAAATGGATGCACACGCAACACTCAGGTTCTGAAACCAATCTAGAATTGGACGAACAACAAGAACTTTCTGTCTGAGTTTACAGCCGGTGAATGCAAAGAAGAAGAAGAAGATACATGATTATTGTATGTAGTATCTGCGGTGTACAGTGTGGGGTCCGTTTCATGTGTAGCAACACGTGACAAGTGGCCTTGCTGAAAGCTATCATGTAGTTCAAATCTTCTTGTGTGCTATACAGTTTTGTTAAGAGTGGGGAACAGGCCAGATTGCCCTTCTATTAGCAGCACACAGTCTACAGTGTTGTAGTACATGCTCAGTATTCCCCGGTGCCAAGTTGCAACCAGCACACAGTCTACAGTGTTGTAGTACATGCTCAGTATTCCCGGGTGCCAAGTTGCAAGCAGCACACAGTCTACAGTGTTGTAGTACATGCT